ATGTTGTTAAGTTGTTTATTTGAAATAGTTGCATCTTCGCTATCTTTTTGTTCGAGATCATTAGAATAGTTTTTATTTTCCGAAAATATTTGAGATCGGTTTGGAGGAAGATTAGCTTCGTCTTGAAATAAGTCATCAGATATTTTCTTGAGAATTGCTGTACCTTCTTCATGCGACCATATTCCCGCTCGAACATTAGCAACCAACTTACGAATTCGTTCAATATCTGGCTGATTCGTTGTCTGCGTATTCTTTTTTGCTAATCTTTTTGTTTCAGATGATAAGTAAAGTAAACATTCTTTAATTTTATTTTGGAATGAGGGTTTAAGTAAAGTAAATTCGCGTTTTCTGGTAGAAACATTAGGATAAAACCATTGAATATCATGAAGACTGTATTCCAATGGAAGTTGACGACGAATATGTGGTTTTTTTCTAGTTATTAATTCGCATATTCTAGCTAAGTCATTCGTTTCCATTAGATCAAGTATATTCGAGAAGACTTGGATAACCTTGATTCGGCTAAGACAATTTTGCTCGTCTATTTTCAATTCAAACTTATTTTTTATTAATCGATCACATATTCTTTTGAGCAATTTATCAGCAGAGGTTTCATTAGAGGACGGTAATTCTAATACGACAAAAGCCTGAATTCCCACTATGATTTCAGAGATAATGTGAGTTGCATCAATTGCAGGTATCTCTTTTGGAATATACTGACTAACTACAGTTGGAGCTGAAACAATCAACCGACGCTGACTTGTATAACGATAATAAAGAAATCGAGTCTTTTTATTGTTTGGCAATGAACAGTTAACTAATGAATGCATTCCTAATTCTGTTAGATTATTTAAAATAACATCCAACCATAATTCATCATGAATACGAATCTCAAGAAATAGTGCTTGAATATCAAATGTATCTATGTCCATCAGTCGACATAGCGGGGGTTTCTCAAGTGGTATGGTATTTATCGGAGTATTACCCAATTGTAAAACCTTATCGAGAAGTATTTCATCTATTGTTGCATCATAGAAAGAACCAAGAATACCACTTGGATTGATGGCTAAACGTCGTATGGCATCGCTACTAGGCGTTGAAGAAGCAACAGAATTTTTTGGTGAAGTTCCTTTCCTTTGTCGAAACATTTGTGATAAGGAACTGGAATCAGTCATTCTGAATGCTGATTAAATCAAATCTAAAAAAGAATAAAATTGAGTCTATTGTACAAGGAATTATCCAGTTGAATGATTTACATTAGGAAAATGTTTCATAGAATTTTACTCTTTTGTCTCGTTAAGTATGCGTACGTTTTGACGTTTATAATTTTAGTATATTTCTGTTTCGCGTAACAAATCGCTTGCTTCGTAAGATATCAAGCAGAAAGCTGAGTCTTAAGAAAAAGCATACAGTGATACTGTTATTCAGTAGTAATAAACAGCTCAACGTAAGAAGAAAAAAGGATTTTCTACTTTATACTATTTGTATTAACCTCATTTCTTCTGCTCCATACATTTTCAAAACTGATTTCATTAATTTTCGATTTTAGCTGATTGGAATGTTTTAGAAAGGCTATTTCTTTTAACAAAGATTCTTCAATCTCTGTGTCATATCTTGATTGAGACACTTTTTTGGATCAAATGAGAGGGTTTAAAATTCTGCTCAAAATGTTACATTTTACTTAACAAATATGTTCGGTTGAGTTTTTTGTAGGATCAGGCATGATAGCATAGTAAAATAAAGTGCCGAATGTATATGGTTGCCAAGAATGTTTTGTCCGAGGAATACAGCTCTAACGACAAATGATATCAACATTGAATTTTATACCAAATGAAAGCCCGTCAAAAATGTGGTTTATCCATACAAATGAATAAGGGCTATAAAGACTTTTCTCTATCGAACTTTGATAATTTCTAGAAATGCTTGAACCGCAGTCATAGCAAAACTTTCTTTTATCATAGAGAACTCAGACTACCTCTGATATAAAGACACTGAATCTAGAAAAGTTATCTTTAGTTTGTGTCATTCATTAAACCATAAACAGTAAGGATAACCTTTCTATGCTTAGTAATTTTATATCAGAGATAGATTAATTTCTCTATGATAAAGGATAGTTTTGCTATGACTATGGCTCATGCATTTTTAGAAATTATCAAAGTTCGAAAGAGAAAAGTTCTTATAGCCCTGATTCATTCGTATGGATAAATCCCATTTTTGACGGGCTTTCATTTGATATTAAATTCAATGTTGACATCATTTGTCGTTGGAGCTGTATTCTTCGGGGAAAACATTTTTGGCAACTCTGTACATAGGTTTTCTGGTTTGAATATTTTCAAGAGAAAGTTTCATTTCATTTATCAATGCTGTTTTTTTTCTTTTATGGTTAGAATTCATAGCTTCTGATGGTTTGTGGCACGAAGTAGTAAAATTCTCATACTGAGTAGATATAGCTGTGTGTATAGATCTATTTGTGATACTCTGTAGACATGCGTCCACACCCATATTGAAATTCATTTTTTATCATTAAAGAATGTAGTGAAATTTCGTTTCTCAGATTATATTTGAAGTGGCGTAAAACAATCAAATTTTAACTCAATGTCGAAAATAATTGAGGGTCTATTACTGTTTTCTGACGATTTCTCCTGATTTTTTAAAATGTTTTTCAGTTTATAGAAGACTACATTTTTATTTCAAGGTGTCGGTGGTACTATAGGTGTTTCTGTCATTCATAAATACGCGCAAAATTGTCCACTTCTGAAAGTAAGACGTACATCTCCATAAGATGAAATACACCTAAAAGTCATCAATGGCCCCATTCTAGTTTGAAATCGAAAGTATTTTTTTCACTTCCAATTTGAAATTAAATAGATCATCGTGTAAAAATAACTGTACGTATATAGCAGAGTAACTGCTTTAATTATTTAAAACTCCACACGAAACGCAGAATTCATGATTGTGCAAGGTTTACATGTGCTTAAGTTAGAAAATTACTTTTTTGTGTAAGAAGGACTATGAACTAGAGAAGTTTTAGCGTCAATTGATCATTTTTTATCAATTGAATAAATCACTCATCATCTGCTCATAAGTAAACCCTTATTGAGAAAACTTCGATTCTTGAAAAATTCCTTATCACTCGCTCTATTCATTAATTACCATACGTGACAGAGTAAGCACGCACTTGAGCTACTTCTCATTCGTTTCCTTTAGTTAAAACACTATTTTAGCATTCGCAGAATAATTGTATCACTATTATGATCCCATAGTGCTCTTAAAGTTCTTGAAGTGCTGATAACTTTTACAGTTTCTTAGGCTCTGAATTTCTTAGAATTATATGTAGTTTTTTTTAATGAATATTTAGGCTATCAACATTCAAGAAATGTAGAATTGATGAAATTCAACTATGTGTCTTCTATGACCTTCAATTAAATTCATTTGCAGCTGTCTTTTCTATACTTATTGTCGGAAAAAACCCACCAGGGCAAAATGTTGGCCATGTTTTAAAACCACGTTAGCTTTTCTTCTGTTTAGTACACATAACATCACAGATAAAAATAGGAAACTCAATAAAAACGTTGAAAATGCCTTGAACACAACAATTGATTCCTTCATTTCAGGTAATATTTATTAATTTCAAAATATTTTCCTAGTAATATTACCATTCTAAAATCAAAAACGTAAATAATCAAACTACTCATTTTTGTTAAGTGAGGTATGTCTCGAGGATGATAGAAATCCGACTCTATGATAAAAGAAATTTTTACCTGATATCAATGATATGTGTTGACGATCACATTCAGACATGCACAAACTTCACAAACTGAACATATAATTGCAGACTCATCAAGATTGTCTAGAATGCGATAGACAAGCTCAACAGGTAATATCAGAAAAGATGCAAAGACTTTTCAGACACTAATTTTTTTCCTCTTTCGGACAGAATGTTTCGTTAAAATGAATGTTAGTTGCAATTCTTTTTTCTTCATATAGATGTATTTATTTGCAGTACGTCATCAACCTGCATCGTGAAGGTGCAGTTTTTTATTTGCATAGAGAACTGAAACACATGCAACGAGACCAACGCAATAGAAAAGTAAAGTCGTTTAAGTAACTATAAACATAATTTTGCTTTCATCCACATTTCATAGAAGAATTTTAAATATATGTTTCTAATTGGATCTGGAACGTGGGCAGAGTAAATTTCGCTTTTATCCAAATCCTCATTCTTACTTTTTCATCATTTACAATACACATGATTTCTAATCAGAGATATGGGTTCTGTATCTATCATAATTTATAATTTTTTTTAATCATTTTCGCAAAACTAGAATATTCCTCAGTCAGGATATGTGAACGAAATTCGAATAAAATCACATTAGAAGAGAAATAGTTCTGCAAATGTTTCACATATAAATGCAATTTTTTTTCAATTTATGAAGCACACTAAGCTCTTCAATTTTTATTGAAACGGGAATCATTTCATTTGAGGATCTAATCTAACAAAATAATGTTTAATTTCAAGGAAAGAGTTTATAGTGCTCAATTCAATGTATCCTGTAAGTGAGAATCTTACCTACAGAAAATATGACTAGAAAAACAGTCTTCTCGTCCTCGAGATGTTTTCAGCTGGTATGAGTGTGGGTGTTGGCCCGGTATTAGCGCATACCCATTCATACTCTTGAGTTTTACTAAGTTGTTGTGAACCAAGTTATTAAAAAGGTATATTATGCTCGAAAGCCGTGATAGCGTGGGTGATTTTTGTTTCACCCCCACCCTAGGTGTGAATGTAGAGCGTGGATGTTGTTCTATCTGATCATAGGTGATACTCACAGCCATATCCACATCCACGTGCACCCTTTGCATAGCATCAATGTCTTGAAGAACTGAAAAAAGATGCAATCATATGCTATTTCAGGGGATGCAGGGAGAAACATTATCTTTCGAGTACTCACATCAGAAGGTTTTTTTCTTTTCTTATCTACTCAAGTGAATTGAAACGAAATGCAGTATTTTTCCTTTTCCATCATATGTGCTGCTGAAAAGTGCTGCGCATGCATCAACGGCGGCACTCACTCTTGGTGTACTTTTACTTTTATGTTGCTGTTTTAATTCTTGCACTCGTTTCTTTTTCACCAACTGTTTTTTGTTGTTTGCCTGTAGCAGAAAAGATTGTTCCTCTTTTCGAAGTAGTCCATTTTCGTTTTTTTTTCTCTTAACAGGCGCTCAAATGTGAATATATCGTCAAGCTTTCTTTCAAAGTATTCATTAAATTTAATCTAGTATCGACACCGTATGTTTGGATTCTGTTGACTCTTCAGAGGAACCCTAATCTTTTTTCTGAGCAACATTTCGACACATGCTGGCAATGAACTCTAGTAAGATGGTATGGCAATTTCATTTTCTTTCGAAAAAGAAACGAAAGTTGCAAAACATTCTTCTTTTTTTTCTTGCTCTTAAAGATGGAGCGAAGGTTTAGGTGTGGGTGTGTGTGGGTGTGAGTGTGGGGTATGGGTGTTGGGTGCGGATGTTGGTATTAATCTTCTCTAGAAAGAGACTCACACCCACATCTACTCCGCCCCCTCATCCCCTCCCTCCTCCCGCACAGACCATAGAAGACAGCTTTAATGGACTATTCAAGATCATGTGTAACTAACATCTAATTCTCTCGACTGTAGAGCAGATCATAAGAAGTAAAATGCGTTTGTATGTGTTGTCTATGTTTGAAGATAAAAAAAGGATCAGAGATGAAGTTTATTGAGGCACAACTGCTGAAGTTTCACCACAGGCAATTGAGATCGGAAAACTCAAATCTGTTGTTGAGTTTCATATCAGGCCTTCCCAATGGCTAAGATGCAGACCAATCAGAAGTTCTCTTTTTTATTTAAATCTTTTTATGCCTTTTAATGAAACTTTGCTATAGGTTATCGAAAG